ATCGCTCGTTGCTTGGAAGAACCATTCACTCCGTGACGTGGGATGCGACACGCTGATGAAGAGTGATAAATAAGGCTTAGCAACAGAAATGATGTTGGGTGTTTTCGGCGTTCACGTAGGATTAATCCTCTCTTTTTTAACCATCGGTGCGTTTTCCACCTAGGCAGCTCCCGTGAAGATATCACAGCGATTCCTGTCCCCCAAGTTTGGGGATACATGGGGTCAGGATTCATCTGATATTGATGGGCCTCCATTTTCCAGCTGCTCTATCGGCCGAGGAAGAATGTTTATTCCGATGCCTCGACTTCACGCAAAAGCAACAGTTGTGCATCACAGCCGAACTGCAATGCAATGATTATGCGGATTGCCACGATGGTCGAGATGAAGAGCAGTGTGGTGAGCGAGCAATCCCGTCCTTCGGCTTTGGAACATATATTTTCTGATCCTTCTTTCAGGATTATAATGATTGAGCCTTCGCGAACGAACACAATCTGATCGCTTCTGATCGAACTTCGAAACGAGCCCCGACTCTAATCGATAGATCTCATGGAACTCGTTTATATAGCTTGCAAGGACTTCACCTGTGGCTCTGGTGGATTGTGCATCGATGCGGGGGAGGTGTGCGACGGGAAATTTCACTGTTTCGACAAGTCTGATGAAACGAATTGCTCAAAGGCCGACTACAAGAAAACGCATCTGTCTCTCCCCGAAGATGTGAGCAAGTCACAGCTGTCTAAATTTGCACCTGATCATCTGAACTCTAGGCGAGCCTACTACTCTCATGCCGAATATTTATTTACGATTTCAAAAACAGAGGCTCTGCATAAAACCCTGTGGTCGGTTCGGCTCCTGTTCTTTTGCGGCAAATGGATTAGCTGTCTGCAACTGCATCGCCGGCTATTCTGGTCCGTATTGCGAAGCCCAAACACTGGAGCATGTCAGCATTGGGCAGCTGTCCGGAAATTCATCGGAGGAAGTTTTCCCTTGCGGGGAAGGAACGATCCCCAAGGCTCTATTCTGCGATGGTGCATTGGATTGCCAAGATCGAAGTGACGAAACCAATTGCACTTGGGACGACTATGAGAAAGCGAGGCCGCATGTTGACCAGAAGATGCGATGCTTGATGCCATGCGTCCGAGGTTCCTGCAGCTTCGACAGATTCGGCAGAGCTCACTGTCTGTGCGAAGGAAACGCTGACGGGCTGCTCTGTGAAGGTCCGCTCCGCGATCATTTCGCTCCTCCCATCGGGAATTCAGAGAAAAGTAACTCGTCGAGCTTCGAATCGCCCGAGACTTCGACAGAAGAGTCCTTCGAACCTTCCACCATGCTTGTTTTCATAGCTATTTGCCTCTGCGGCGCCGTTCTCATTATCTGGCGCCTGAAGTAGGTAGAATACGATTTTTCGACTGGATGCATATTCCTGTTCTGCGCGAGGGTTGAACCTCATGCAAGCCTCCCAGCTCCGAGATATATCTCCATAACGACCACATGACTGCTTAATATAGATTGAATTCCAATAAATTCGTCAGTGATTCTCGGAATAAATCAGTCGCGTACTTACGATCCTTCCCCGCAGTAGCGGGGCGCAAACATCCAGAATGATGCCGAGCCCTCTGAGGGCCGACAGCTCGGTTGTGCTACCGAGAGCTCCGGCTGAACCCCTGTGGATATGACTGGTCAAAAGTGTCCAACGGGTTCCCGACAGAGCCACTCGATGCGGGAACGATATTTCTTCGCTGCGTCTGATTCCTATTCAGGACAAATCATGGGGTTACGACTACATCATATATCATTCTATGAGAGTTCAGGTGCTGGGTATACATGCAGAGTTGAGCCAGAGATCCAGAGTACTTGAGAGTATGCAGATGACAGCTGACTCGAAACGTGGCAATATAGACCTTCCTCCCGTCCAGCTCCCAGAACATGCTCGGAACTTGACGCCGCTTCTCACTCCGCTTGACGAAGACTGACAAAATGAGAAACAAATGCTCCGGAATGAGAAATATTTTCAGTCTCTTAAGCGCGAGGTATTCAGCGAAGTATACACGCAAAATGCACGACTGTATAAGGGACTACGATGAAGTATATGTATGGTGAACCTTCTTCATCCTTGAAGAGAGAACTACGATGGTGTCGGAGAGTATTGTTGAGAAGTGATTGTGTTTCACGGAAAAAACTGGTTCCCTCGCTCATATAAGGTGGGAGGGGGGCGAGGGGGCACAAAAACTATTCTCAGGCATGCTCTCCATTCAAACGCTGATGTTGAATGCTCATTCTCTTCTTACCCCCCTTCGATCTTTCGAGCAATTTTCGTTTTTCATTCCCGGGAGTCTACCTCGAAGGATGCTTCACTCCAATTCAGTGCGAATGTTCTGCACGAGGAAGAATTGATAACTTCTAAGCTGCGAACCTCCGATGAAAACAAGGGTTTCCCCCTGACTTCAATTCGATTTCCGGCAAACGCTTGAATGTTCGCCCGTCCTAAGTGCGGTTTTTCGCCGATGAAATTTCCGGGTAAATCGAAGCTCTAGCGATCGAGCATGGTAGTTTCGAAGTAAGAGCAACGAGGCGTGTTCCACCCGAGACGACTATGAGGAAGAGGGGTACCATTCAGATGGGGAGGTCCGCTGCTTGCAACCATGCATCTGAGATCAGCCGCTTCGATAGCTAGGGCGGAGCCTTTGCTTGCGAGAGGTAGATCCCAGTGGGGTGCTCTGCGGAGGTCTCACCCGGAATCACCCCCTTTTCGAATCGAGAGCCACACTGCGTGAGAATTCACTGCATGCGTGGCCGGAGGAGCCCTCACGAGACTTTTCTGCGTTCGACGCCGAAACGATCGGGATCCCTGCCGTTCCTCTGATAATTTGAATGGCCGAGTCAGAGAGGCGTCATTGTCCCAGCGCGTAGGGATCTGTCGATGTTCCGCGAGGAATGTAGGCGGGACGATATCGAAGATTCCGAAGCTCATCCGGGGGTTTTAGCGGGGAAGAGTCCACTTCTTCACTGCAAATCAGACGGGATCTTGTTTCAAGAATATCATCAGAGGTAGAGGCAGAGACGCACGTAAAAGTCTCATGATGGTCGTTCCCCGGTCTCCCTCGAAAGTGCATCTGGCACGAGCTCCTCCGGTCTGCTTGATGAGCACCCACGGAAGACATAGGCGCGTCTCCGACCCCTGATCACCTCCATCATGGTCAAGTCGTACAACTACAATGAAGAGCCACCTAGACTGAGGAGATCTGAGCGCCACTGGAGTCGTACTGACTCCTTGGGGGAAGCATCGACCGTACCGTCAGCAGGACTGCAAGACTTCGCTCGCCCGTCTACCCATTCCCGCCCTGAACCACTCTCTGACATACGGCGGCAGTCCAAGGACAGAACGAGACTCCGCGCCGGTTTTCGGTTTGGTTCATGATATTGACCCCCTGAGCTCGAGGGAATCTTGAGCTCGATAGAAGCTCGAATCTCGACCCTCTAAAAGCAGCGGTATGATACAGTCACCTCGCTCGAGAGCGTGGGTTATAGCGAGAAGACATGAAACTAGGCGCCGAGACCCGGATTTTGTATTTACAAGAATGAGGGATCCGTGTTCCTTGAAGAATTTCCTGGCCGTGTTCAAGACCACGTCGGACATCCCCAACGGGACAAGAGTTGATGATTTATTCCTCTTAGACTCTTCATGGACACGTACCCCAGAATACGACTCATAGCGGAGCTGGATCAAAAGCATTACCGGCACTGGCTACCATGGAGTGGGCCGATCAGCGACTTGAAAGTAGAGCGTGTAGTTTGCCATGATGCGAACTCCGGCGTAAACTAGAACGATAACGGAAAAAGCAAGGATGGCGAACAGCTCTGCGATAACAAAGTCCGGTCGCTCTGGAGTCCAGAGGTCTCGACGACTTTCACCCCGCCGGCATATCACGCTATCCTTAGCGACGACGTCTATCGTTTCTGTTTGTTTATTGCGAAAGAAAGAGATTTTTTCGAATTGAGCGATTCAGATAAAGAATGTTTGAAATATGTCTCCCTCTGTTGGGTCCTCTCCAGATGGATCTCAAATGGATGGAGTCCGACAAAGACGACTCAATCGATTGTGAGGGGGGGCTACCCGCAATACAGAGCTTCTCCATACTCCCGTTTGTGGTTTGATCGGAGAGGATGGCTCCTTAGACGCCGCGGGTCGTATCCCAAATCGTGAGGCGGTTGCAAAATACTGACCATCCTCTACTCCCCTGTATCCCGAAGAATAACCTTGGACTGCGTAAGAGACGCCGATTAGATGGGAACGTAACTGAGATACCGCGGACTGTCTAACCGACTCCGACCGGTTCGAGGGAAACTCATCGCCGTCATCTATCAAAGACTTGAATGCTTCCAAGACGCGATAACCGTATATACATGCAGCGATCTCATCGTCAGACGGAACGGAATGAGCGCAGATACCATGTGAAGACGCATTTTTCCGACCGGGATCTTGGGGGCCACGAGAAGGGGCAGACTTCTAAGCGAGCTGCTCTATGGATTCGAAATCGATGAGAATCGGTCGCACAGCTACCCACTGAGGATGATACAGTGACCCAGACGAGTCGAGTAGTTCCGACAGCCCCCTTGGCTAGCCGGGAAGTTCCGGATCGGTGCTCCGCCAAGGAGATCTCGAGGCTGCGTGGGATGTTGTTTGGGACAATACTCTGGAAGCCCTCTATGGGTTCGATCCAAATTATACACTGGGGGATAATTGCACCAAGGCCCAGAAGTATACGACCAAACCGAGAGCACGACATAAGGAGTCCATCCGACCCAAAATCTCTTGCTGTGATTCGAGCCGTGGAGGCTTGATGCGAATATTGCGGCCTCGTCGGTCCCGTAAGATGAGTATGGTGGGAACCCTGGCCTAATATCCAATCGATTCAGATAGGTATATGGATTCTGTAGCTTCAATTGGCCCATGCTGCGATCCCGACCGGCACTGAAGGGATCTCATCTATTCGGTCAATCAGGAAATAATTTATCTTCATATCACATTGGCACATCGAACTTATCACATCCCTACAACGCACATGGCTGGCTGCGCTTAAGACTCTCACTCGTCATTGAAATATCCGCTTATGCTGTTCTCGAAGGCTCTGCGATACGCGACATCTCCGCGGTCAATTCAGGAGAGTCTCCCGCGGGGGTTAGATAGATGGAAAAGTCTCGAGAACCATGAGAGGAGCTTCCGCGGCATGTCCATGCCGACTTAGGTGCGGCGAACCAGCTGATTCTCGAAAGTCGGACTAGAAGACAGTGTGAGTATAATCTCTGCGGTGAATATGGACTTCGTCGTTCGTTTTCGGTACTGCGATAGGTCTCAGTCAGTATAGCGGAGCTCATCGTCAGTGGAACTTTCACACGGATGAGTTCTGTGCGGGAGACACGACGGCATGCTCCTTCGCGAAATTCAGGAAAATTTGCTCCAGTGTCGTGTCGGACACTTGCACGTCTTCGAGTTGCAGCTGGGGGCTCTCACGCAGTTTCTCGATGCGCTCGAACACCTCGCTCCACCGGAGCCGCTGATCGTTGACATGAAACTGCAAGAGACACTGAAATTCGATTCGGTTAATTGTCGATAAGGCAATTCATCGAATGCTGGGCCAAACGATGAATAGACATGCCCGTGTCCAAAAACAGAACTCACTTGGTAGCTGCCCTTGAGCTCGCACTGGTCTCCGAACAGATGCAGCATTGCACTCTGTACCAGATGCGCTTGATCGTCTTCTGATGCTTTGGTCTTGATGAGCACCGTGAAACCTTGACCGTACCTTCTTTTCAATTGCTGACTGGATCCGAGACATCGGAAAGTCCCCCGGAGCATAATGACCAGTCGATGACAGAGAGCTTCGCATTCGTCCATCGAATGTGACGTAAGCAACACCGATGAGTTCAACTCTTTTTGAGCTTGAACGAGGGTGGCCCAGATTCTCCGGCGCGCTCCAGGATCTACTCCGGCGGAGGGTTCATCCAAGAACAAAATTGAAGGATTGCCGATCATCGCGATGGCAAGCGACAGTTTCCGTTTGTTTCCGCCACTGTACGATTGGCTGAGTTTATCGATATGCGGTCTCAAGTCAGCCATGGTTATCATGAAGTCGATCACGGTGTTCTCTACGCCTGTCGGAACTCCTCGCAGACCGCAGAACAGCGACAAGATCTCCCGCCCGGTTAGGAGATCAGCGAGCGCATCGAATTGCGGACAATAGCCGATGAACTCTTGGTAGGCATGGACCTTCGAACGAACGTCCGTGTGTTGAATATAGCTGTTGCCTCTGCTCATCATACAATCTCCGGTCAACATGCTGAATGTCGTGGTTTTTCCCGCTCCGTTCACACCCAACAAACCGAAACATTCATTTTTCTTTACATGGAACGAAACATCGTTCACAGCTCTCAAGTTTCCGTAATATTTGCTTATATCTTTGGCCACGAGTGCTTGAGATCGAATGTTGTTGTTGGTGACCAAATCATGGACCATTTGGCGCTCTTCCTTGACGGCCGAGTCTTCTTGAACCTCCCCGAAATCTTCACCTGAAAATTTATTGTCGCTCCCGTCAATCGCCGATGAGCGTCCTGACGCGAAATCTCATCCCGATGTACCGCATATAGCATGGTTCTCACTTTTCTCTTGATTCCTCGAACACGAGAATAGCTTTTTGATGCTGATGGAATCGGCCATATGGACGAACCTCCGGGAATTGAATTCGATCAGAATAAGCAGGAGCAAACCAACCAGACCCATTAAGGTCAGCGAGATGAGTTGGAAGCCGATTCCGAAGTAGATATCCATGTCGAACACTGAATGTGACTTGTAGCAGAATCCATCGGCACACTCTGTTTGGTGATTTGAAAAGCTTGAGTGGCACCTCGAATCGTCAGCATGAGTTCAATAGCGATCAATGGAGGAGGTACACTTACGACCGCAGAACTTCGATATAATTTCGGCTCGGTAGTCCGCTGAGCAGAGCTTCTCTGCACCGACAGCATCGAACACCGTCTTCACGCAACCATTCCGATAAACGGTTGCGAAACTCCACGAAGCGGAAAATACCGGAAAGAAGCTCAGCACGTAGAGATAGGGGTCGGCCTTGCCCTCAATTTGAGCTCGCAAATTTTCCAGAATGGCCAGAGGTACGCTCGCAAGGAGAGTGGCGACGAAATTTATCGTCAGGTAAATCGAGAATCCTGAGCTCGAATTGGTGAAAAGATAGGACGATACGTAGGCCCACGGTGTTGAGGCGACTATGAACACAACGAAGATCAGGAACATCGCGGCTGGAAATCCGAAACAGCTGTAAGACTCGGTTTCGAGGAGCGAGGAGACGATCCTCCATATAATGTATTAGGTAGTTTTTTTTTCGGCGGGCGATGGCTCAACTCTGTGTAGGATGGAGCGTATCGACTGTTGTGTCTCCTGACAAGCGGTCTGACAGACTTGTGCCGATACGAGTATTGCTCAGATTCGGGTCTGATTGTTTGTCAATAATGCGCGATCCAACTACCGAACGTTAGGCTCCCTTACGGTATTCATAGCCACGACAAAATTTTCGATTGATCTTGCGGAGCTCTCGGAACCAATCGGATAAGCACGGGAACACGGCTCATCTCGGGCGGTTGGGCACGAGGGTTTCGTGAGTTCATCCCTCAAAAAAGGCACAAAGCCGCGCCGGCCTGGCAGTTTCTCTCGACTTCTGACATGGAGAACCAACGGGCGCACCGTGACGAAAACCCAGCCCCTATCCTAAGCTGTGCGGGGATATCTCAGGCTATTGTCCTAAGGATTTCGTGTTGAGATTCCTAGGAACTCACGCATCGTTTCGGCGAGCGTGGTCAGAGCGCCTAGTGAGTTGAAGCATAAGAAGACGAAGAGGCAAAGGAGCAGCGATATCAACATCATCAATCCGTCGAAGGCGAAGTTTGACGCGATGTAAACGAGGGGATTGACTCCGGACATGATTTGAATCTGAGGAATACCAACAATCATCGTATGCAGATCACGCTCATGCTTTCAGCGGAAGAGGAAATGAATCAAGCGGCGAAAAGAGCGAGCTCAGAGTGTTATGGGAGTATCCATTCGAAAGATTGGTCACCAGTTTCGATTTTCTGACGCGTTCCTGTATCGGAAAGATGATTATCGCACACGATGCGTAAGAAAATATCAGACCCGTGAAGACGCCCAGGAGTAGACGAACTGAAAGCATAGCGGGGGAATATCACGGACTGACTCGCAGTGGTCAATGTCATCATATGCAACTCCTTGCATTACGACCTTTACCCGGAGCGTGACCTACTTCCTTGCGCTTTTTCCTGGACTGGATTCACATACGATAGGGCATCGAGGGGGTGATTCTCGATGGTCGTGTAGCTGTCCTCGCCGGTCAGTTTCTTCAGTTGCGCGGCTTGCCAATCCGCCAAAGCGGCGGCACCAACATGGTAAGGCTGTCCGTTGAAATAGATGCTGTTCGACCCCTTGAGCATACCAGCGTACGTGTGGAATTTGTAGGCCGTGGGATCTTCGTCCGCTGCAAGGATGTTCAGGCAAGCGTGAGTGTTTTCCGTACCTGACAGAAGATGCTACAGGGTAAGAGTCCAATCTGATATCAAGCGGACGTGAATTGGCCAACTTACCCCTTTCGAGAAATGCGTCGTCCAAAGCACTCTTAGTTCTGAGGGTGCTCAAGGATTCCATCCTGACTTTGGCCTTCTGGAGGCGCTCCTCGAAGAGATCTCCCACGGAATCTTGGGCATCTCCCGCGAGAAAACCTTTTGGGTCTTTCAAAAGTGACGTGGCGTCATAGGTGATGGACTGTGAAATTACGAAACGGAGCTGCACCCCGGCGAACTCTTCCGGAGGATCTATCACTACGGAGATAAGTGCAGATCACCTACATTCGACCGGATGACCCCGCCGCCGGGTATGAGGATGATCGCGATCACAATCGAGAAAATGATCGGTAACAGGGTCATGTAACCGATGATTTTCCAATCACGGCGCAAGCTGTGGAATCTCATTAGAAGAAGGGCAGCCATCTGCCGGAAAAGCAGGGATGGACCTCTCAGACGTTCGAACCTCGGGAAAGACTCTGAAAGCCGAAAGACGGCGGCGCGGCGTGACACATACAGGTAGCGTATTGGTCGAAGCCCGATCGTAGGATACTTATTGGTTGTTTCATGGAGGATTCCCTTTTCGGTGTTTCCCGAAAGCACTTTCTCGAACGAAGGCCCAGCCTCGCTCCTGATTCAAACGGTACCCCGTTATTCAACCATTCTTAATGATAGATCTCCTCACCGAAGACGTCCACCGCCGCTTCTTTCCCCTGATCCTCCTTCACCGGAAGATCCTCTTCCCGTTGACCAACTTTCAAAAACACGTCCTCCATCGTAGTGACGGAAACCCCGAGGCTCTCGACCTGAGGAAGGCGTAGCCGCTCAGCTATGTGTGTAGATATCGCTCTCTACACTTACATGTTGATATCGCTCTCGACAGTGTCGCCGAGGTTCTGACTTTTGTTGCATCCAGGTTTCCCGTGAATATTCAGATCTGAGTATATCTTGCTGTGGAAACGCTTACCCCGAGCTGCTGTTGGTTGTCTTCGAGCTGCCTGAACAGAGAGACCATTTGCACGGAACCAGGGAATCCAATGTTGATGACCGCCTCGTAGGACATGTCAGAAACAAGATGGATCTTGTCCGCACTCTCAGGCAGCAAGGACTTGATCTCCGAAACGATGGACTCAGGATCGAGGTTCTGGTCAATCTTCGTCACTCGGAGTTTGTATCCAGTCTCTGCAGAGGATCACGGGTCAGAGCTGAGAGCCGGATGGAAATCATCAACCATCACTGTGGGCACTGGGGTGAAGATCGTGTCGAATTACCGAATTTTCTTTTCAGGAACATTGGCGATCCAGCACACATAAGTTTCCCTTTGGCGATGAAAGCGATACGATCACCAAGCACGTCTGCCTCCTCCATGTAGTGGGTTGTCATGAGGATGGTCCTTCGGGTTCTTTCCTGATATTTGTATTAATGGGTCCGATGCGATCATTCTCTTCTAATCTCGTAGTCTAATTTCCATAAAGGAGTCCAATGACGCTCACTTGCTGCAAGAGGTCCCAAACTTTTCTCCTCGCTTCCGGGTCCAAGCCCGACGATGGTTCGTCAAGAATCAGTATCTGGAAAGGCGATTGGGCCAATATCGGAGTATTTCGTTTCCGACTTCAGGCTGCAGCATTCATTGCTTTCCCGCGGGGTACAAATTCAGGTAACCTACCGGACTGCCTCCCACCATCGCGTTGGCCAAACTGAGCTTTCTCTTCATTCCTCCAGAGAGAGACTTCGACAAAGTACTTGCTTTACCGATCAGTTCGAGTTTTTCCAAGAGAACCGTCACTTCGGAAGCGTTCGGCTTCGAAGTTTTAAGCATTGAGAAGAAATTTAGATGCTCTTCCACTGTGAGATCATCGAAAAGAACGTTGTGCTGCGGACAGAGTCCAACACCTTCACGGGCCTTCTTCGTGTTCTTCCGTACGTCGTAGCCATTGATCAATATATCTCCTCGGGTTGGAGGGAAAAGACCGGTGAGAATATTCATGGCTGTCGTTTTGCCCGCCCCGTTGTGACCGAGCAAGACAGTAATTTGGTTGCCGTAGAGATCTAGCGAGACATTGTCCACGGCGCGAACATGCCCGAAGTTGTGGGTGACCCGCTCGAGGCGTATCACGACATTCTTGGAATCCGTTCTCTCGACCATGTCTGAAGCCATGTTCGGAGAACCCTCGAAATCCGATAATTCGAACTTGTCGCTCACAGTCGTCTTCGGGAACCAATACGAATGTTGCAAGAAGAACAGAGGGGGCTTGGGCATGCCGTATTGCCAGGGGATCACCGCATCCAGGTAGAGGATGAGGAGCATCCACAGGAACCAGGATGAAATCATCATCAAGAGAACTCCTCCGAGGGATATGTTATCGCCCTCGATGACCGGGCTGAACAGGTTCGACCAATTGACTCCGACATCTACAGTGGAGAGTCAAGATTCACATGCCGTCCTCTCGCCAATTTCTCACTGGACCTGATCGGCTAAAGCAATGGCGATTCAGAAGAACCCAATGTGATTCCCGCGAATTCACAACTCACCCATTTCCTCCGCATAGAAGATGAGTTTCAAGGCCCAGTGTATTCCGCAAGGCGAATACATAGATGTTGCGAGCTTCACTGCTGCCGAGAGTGCCATGTAGTTTGAAGTTCCCGGAGTGTCGAGAACTGTGCTTAGGGCACAGCCGAGGGCCTGAGCGAGGACCACGAGGACAGAACCCAACTTCGCTGTGAATCCAACGCGGATATTAATACGATAGCCTCGCCGCTCAGGGGAGAATGTGAGATTCTAGGTGCCGGCCGGATGACCAGTCGCGAATACCATCTCTAATGAGATCGTCGATCACGGCAAATTCCCGACCGCTTCTGTCATTGACAGTCTATCGACGGATCCGTTTTGGCTCCGCATTCCAAGACACCGACGCTACGTACCTGACTTGACCAGGACAGAAATCAGTAATGCCAGCAAAATGATGCCGATTGCGTAGCAGAGTACCACGACGAAGAGCAGCAGCGGGTCCGTATTCGGTAGTAGTGAAACGTGACCGAGGCCAACTCGCAAGGCGACGGTCACAAGGATACACAGAGGAAGGGCATTCAGGAGTCCCACGAGGAACGCGTTGACCCAGTAGACTGAATCCGAAAGTCCCATCATACGCAAGAGTTCCTGTCGGTAGAGGACGATGTGAGGTGTATCCCAGCTACAGACGACATTCTCCAGGAGTGAATATCTCCAGCAGGCTGCTTAGCCGCTGCAGACGTTTTTCTGAATACCTAGTAGAATCGCGGATAACCACTCTATTTGCATCAATACTGTATCGAGAACTTACGCGGAGCCGCGACTCTTTGTCCGCCATGACATTCTTGGAATATGAGGACAAGAATATGATGAAAGTAGCGAGAACCAGACCGTCGGCAGCGTACGCTATGGAGCCGAGTATCGACCCGAGTCTGTAGCTGAACTTCTGCGTCGGCAGCGCTTGCATATACGGTAAGTCCACCTCGCCCAACTAGAAAATAGTTTTGCCCCGAATGATCGCTCAAGCTCGAATATCGCCCCAGGTATCGAACTGTACGAATCTCAGTATCTCGAACGCTTTCTCGGAGCCATTCTCAGAACAATCCTTCGGAAATTCGAGACTTGTAGTCGTGGAGAAAATCGAGTTATCTGGACGAAGACTGAGTCGTGTACCTCGGAACTGCTCACCTTGAAATAATTCAAATGCTCGACGAAGATCCCATTCATCAGTGGCCATAAATAATGAGTTTCCGTATAGTCGAAAGCAGGATTGATCGGATCCTGTCCATGTGAGTCGGGTGAACTCTCACGAGCGATTCGCGGTTGCTTAGAATTAGGGAAAATAATTTCCGTCATCATTGGCCTCGACCTCGGCCACCGCATCGTGTAAGACAGATTTTCCCGAGTCGGATTGGAGGGGAACTCGAGTCCGAATCCATAGAAGTACTTTTCGGCGTCGATCGCAGTTATCATTGCTCTCTCCGAGGAGAAACCCAGCGTCTTGACTACGGTGAGAAGAGAGACATTTAGAGGCGTCCCCTTGCAATTACGTATGCGTCAGGTCAACAGGTCAAGTCAGTAGGGAACTCACACCCTGATCTGAAGATTCCTTCCGTTATATTTTTGGCATAATCGGAATCCGGTGTGAAATAAATCTTGAGACGACTCCAGGCTGGAGCCGGTCCATGCTGCCGCGTGATGTCTCCGACTCCGAAAGGTCCAAGCGGAAGATAGCTCCTGGCCTCTCCACGAACTTCTTCACCGGCAAAGCTCTTGACCGGTAGTCGCTTCAACGCAAATAGAAGTCCACCTGAAATAAACGTCCCTACCTTGTATGGATTGCACAATCCCGAAAACTATGGCATCCGCCCGATCGGGAGAAAAGGCTCACAAGCGACCCCCGGAATGTTATTTCTCGGGATAGATCGCGCTCCGCATTGCTTCCTTGGCCGAGCAATGCTGTCTCCAATGATTTTACGAACTCGAGATGATCTCCAGCTTTCGTATTGAGGAACATCTTCTTCTCAAACGAGAAACTTACCCCAAATCAGAAGAGGGAACAATAATTCAAGAACCGCCAAGATATAATGTCGCTTGAATTTCCGAATAACTATGTCCTTTTGGAGCAAAGCCCCCAGCTGGCGCATGAAGCTCATGATGAGCCAGGAGCACAACTTCGTTCTATGAAAGCTTCCGTGGCTGTGCTGAGCGGGACAGGAATCACGAATGTTCTAACAAGATACAATCCGGCTTAAACAACCAGGCTAGGCTTCGCGGATGAATCGACTTTGAAAATGCCTCGCCCTCTTTTGCGCCTAGGATTTGGCGGATACCATTGTTACGGCAAGGAATGAATCGTGACTAAGACGACGCTTTCGAAAGATAAGCTGCGAAGGTCATGGATGCCAGTATCGCGGTGTTGTGGCACAAGAGGAACCGTATCCGGAGGGGGCGGTTGTCGAGTTCACTTGGAACCTTCGACGCGGCTCACCTCCGATTGGAAACACATCCTTAGTGAGCTTGGGGAAGCGTTCGAGAAGGATGACGTGCCATGACGTGCTGGCTCGGAGAAACTCTCTAAACATCGGGATTTATGAGTTCGCATCGATAAGCCATGAGTTCGTAACCGTAATTGGGAGAGTGTAATCGAGCTATTCGCGCCTCACGTCACCAGCGCAAGCCAACGCCGCGCCGCTCGGTCGCGCGATTTCGTGGGTCTGCCTTTCCGATTTCTTTTCTCTCGTCCCTCCTCCCGGCCTCCGGCGAGGGACTCGAGAGATCTCTGATCGGTTGGTTAGGTACCGGGATTCGGTAGGCGGTCGCAGCATCGGCATCGGGGGGAGCTTAAGCTCCCAATGATGGCCTCAAAACTGGACCATTCACGTCGCGTCTCCCACACCGGATCCCGACTATCGAGGTCCCATCCTATCCTGCTCGACGAAGCGACGTGAAGGAAAACTCTCGGAGCCCGGGTCATGCGACTTCTCGGAATCCCGAGAATTCTTTCGCGGAGAGCAAACCGCGGAGGAGATGGGATGCTCCTCGAAGATCGTGTACATCTCTTGCCATCGGTACTTCGACTCGCCTCCGTCGAATCTATCCTTACGTCGTGGGTCGCATGTATCAGGGAAGATGCTCTCGGCGTAGAGCTCCAACCGAGAAGGCCTACGGTTTGTGTACTGTGTGCGGATCATTCTTGCCGAGCCCGGTGGGCGGACACAGATCCACCAAGTCGTGCCCCCCCTTTCTCCCTCTGTTATGGGAGTCTTGAAGTACTCAACTTTTTCCCTCGCATATTCTGTCCATGGGATGCCCTTCCCACTCATGTCTCACCTTCCCTAAGGGTATTCACATAAGCCCCACACGTCAGTCGAATCTTTCGCTCTACCGGGTCGTGCGTTGATGCATTTTTTCCCCAGAGCTCATCTACGGTTCCCTCTAATTCCCCCTCAATTTTCTTCCTTCCGCGTTTGCAGTCTTCCTCTAAAGTATTCAATGTCACAATTTCCATGGGAAAAAAGTAGTCTGCATGATCGTGAGCGTCCGATGATATCCTTCACTTCATTAAGGAATGTGGACTCCATCCGGAGTTAATCAATTATTCTCGATCTCGATCAGACGAGGATCGGTGAAGGGCGGGAGCACACGCGAGCGGGGCTCTCATTCGAAGGCTCCAAAGAGTCCTCAGAGATTTTCCGGCAGGGTCTTCCGGCGCTGCCGAACGAACGGGATGCTTCCATATAGGTGGCCGCCGGGTCCTCTCGATAGATTGGCCCGAATATAGAGGGATTCTTCGACTTCTTCGACCCGGATGCCGTCCCAGTCGTAGCACGACTCCATACAGGGAAACGGATCCCCAGAATCACAATTGCTCTCTCATTGCCCATAACGATTGGAGGCGGCGCCGCGACGCAGATCCCCGTGTTCGTTTCGGAACAAAAACCGCGAAGCTTCGCAATCAGGGTCTCTTTCGCCTTTAGGAATTTCAGGGAGTCGATGGTTTCTCCCTCGAGGGTGTCAACTCTGACTCAGTCAAAAGTCGTTGGTTCCAACACTTCCTATCTGACCGTTCCTCCCGGGTACGAATCAATGCTCCTCTGTCGAGATCCCTCCCATCCCCCTCCGGCGTACCCCAGGGTAGCGTGGTAGGACCTCTGCTCTATCTTCTTTTCACCACCGACCTCCAAGATACCATGGAGCCCGGAGTGTCACATCGTACATTCGCTGACGACACCAAACTCTTCGCCGACGTATCTGTACCTGGTAACCGTGATGCGCTACAGCGTACCCTCGCTAACATTGAGACCTGGGCGAATCGCTGGAAGCTCATGATTTCGACTCCTAAGTCAGCTGTGCTCCATGTTCTTCATGACACCCCCTCTCACTACGCTCTGTTTGGTGACATCGTACCCGAGCGGGTCGGTGTCAAGGATCTCGGAGTCCTCATTTCCTCCAAGCTCGACCCCGATGCCCACATCACTGATGTCCTGATGAGGTCGGGTAGGGTTGCGAATTTCATCCATCGAGCGTTTGTTAGTCGACTGCCACGAACCTACATCAGAGCTTACAAGGCTCTCGTGCTTCCAATCCTGCTTTACGGGTCCCCAGCCTGGAGACCTTGGCTCATGAAGCATATCCGTGCCATCGAGAACTTCCAGAAACTCTTCCTCCGTCGTACTGCCTACAAGTGCGGTATTGACGTGAACTGCCTTGTACTCCCATCCATCTCTACGTTACTCGACGAAGCCGATCGCAGTCTCTGCCTTTCTATCATCAAAAACCCCGACTTCTCAAACTTCTTCGACTCCGCGCAGACCATCACAAGAGCCCAACGCAAATTCAAGGTTCCCCTTGCCCGGAAAAATGTTGTCCACCACTCCTTCCGATGGAGAGTGAGTCGCCGCTCTGACGTTAAGGAAATTCTTCCCGCTTGACCAAGTCTGTGTATCTTATTTCCTCGAGCTGATAAAGTAGAGTGTACACCGAGAGGAGTGAGCCTTCCTGCTTAGAATTCCAAAAGGCTTATGACTGGCACATTGAGAGGGAGTCGACCAACTGCTTGTGATTTGTGATACTGGAACGAAAGAACCGTGAATATCCCGGCACCGATGCGGCGGCAGCCTCCCCCCGTAGCGCTCTGCGAGCGTCGTGATGCGATTGATCCAAGCCTGGAATCATGGGATCAAAACCAATGGGAACCCTTACTTTCTTCATCGATACTCTTAAGCATTGACATCCGAATGGACGAGAGCAGAAGAGGTATAGTGAGATTCGGCATTTCTCGAATAGGTGGTAGCCACGGCTCATTTCGGACCAAAAACAGCCCCTTGAACCTCGGAGCCACAGGGGTGACCCCGGAACCCTGAAATGTTCCCTGAAACGCTCGTTAGAGTCGATTCCGCAGGAGTATTCCGCAAAAACTGCGATTATTGGGGAATTCACAGAAACGTACGGGGACTCCAGTCTGCTTGTTGAAGGTCCTTCTCCCGACTGAGCTCGGCCGCGATAGTGTCTCTAGGAGCATTTTCGCTCTTTGGAGCAGGGTTACGGGGATTTAGCTCTATACCGGCGGAAAGGGTGGAGGGACTTTGAAATTCAAGATTTCTCGCGGCCTATAGAACCTGAGGCACATTCTGTAGCAGAGCTCCTCGGTGCTTTATTCCAAATCTTGTTCGCTCCAGACCTTTTATGGGAAACACAAAAGCCTGTACGGTATCAGACACTGAAAACAGAATCCCCTACATACGTTCCGAGAAAATCTCCCGCTGGGATCTCCGTGAGCGTTGCTGAGGCACATTCTTTGGAGTGCCTCCAGACTGTACATCCGAAAGGAGCCGGATCTTCCTGAAATCCTAAGCAGCGACCCATGGTAGCGACCCTGCCTGACAGACCTTCTTCTCCGTACTGTAATATGCATATCGTCTTAAGCGCCAGTCCGATCGACGCCTCTCAAAACTTGACTGAGTCCAGGAGTTGCAGTCCTGATCCGCGACGCGCGGACTGGTCTTGGTTCTCGGTCTGCGTATAAGTTATCAACATACATAATGTATTTAGCTGATTGAGCAATCAAGAATATTCTTTCCGAAAATCGGCGCCCGTAAGTATTGAGTACATACTTCAGTAGCTCCTATCTCCTTGACTCCGTCAGGGACTCGACCAGTCGAAATACCTCTGCGTGAGTCGAAGTCTCTGCGGAGTTCGAGCGCTGCGGTCGGCTGGGAGAGGTCACAGTCCTCTGATACCCCATCCCTGATTGAGAATGACCCACGGTCCGAATGGATTGCATTGTATCATGATCTATCTCAGCAATGAAGACAAGCTCAAAGCTTTATCAATAAAAGTCTTCCGCGCTCTTCAATATATTGCATGTCATAACATTAGAGGAGCATTATCTTTGGACGATTTGAATCCATCGCCTCGAAACGCGAAACCAAGCGCAATTGACGGAAGCACTTCTCTTTGGAAACCACAAGGTATGACTGAGGTGTATGAACATTGTTTGCGTTTCGACATCTCGATGACTCTGAACCTCGAGCCACGGGATATTCCTCGGCGTTTCAGACGGAGAACGACGGCCCACTCGCTTCGCTCTCCGTGGCGTTCTCCTGTGCGAAGTTCAGAAAAACCTGTTCTAGGGTCGTATCGGACACCTGAACATCTTCGATTCGTAAGTTGGGATTTTCGCGAAGCTCTTGAATCCGTTCGAAAACTTCACTCCATCGTAGAGAGGCATCGTTGACGTGGAATTGCAGCATACACTAAGGATGAGAAATGTGATTTTGAGAGATCCATTCCCGTGAAACTTGAAACAAATCCTCGGAATGATCTCCCCTCATGCGGGATGTGCTCCGTTCGAACCCACCTGATAGCTTTTCTTAAGTTCACACCTTCCGTCGAAGAGATCCTCCATTGCTCTCCCCACATTGCTCAGCTGATCGCCACCGCTCGCCTCGGTCTTGATCGAGACTGTGAACCCTTGGCCGTACTTGGACTTTATCTGCTGGCACGATCCAAGGCAGCGGAAAGTTCCTTTGAACATGATGACGAGTCGATGACAGAGAGCCTCGCACTCGTCCATGGAATGCGAAGTGAGCACAATCGAAGAATTAAGTTCCCTCTGCGCCTGAGCTAAGGTGGCCCAGATCCTACGTCTCGCGCCGGGATCCACGCCAGCCGTCGGTTCGTCGAGGAACAACACGCGGGGGTTGCCGATCATCGCGATGGCTAGCGACAATTTGCGCTTGTTCCCTCCACTATACGACCGAGTAAGTTTATCTATATGGGGTTTGAGGTCCGCCATCGAAGTCATGAAATTGACCATGCCCTCCACTTCATCCCCGGGAACGCCGCGTAGACCGCAGAAGAGTTCCAACAGCTCCCGTCCGGTCAATGTGTCGACTAGCGCATCGAACTGGGGACAATACCCGATATATTCTTGGTAGGAGCCGAGTGTCGAGCGAACGTCCGTTCGCTCGATGTAGGAGTTCCCCTCGTTTATGTAAGAGTCTCCGGTCAAGATGCTGAATGTGGTCGTTTTGCCGGCTCCGTTGACACCGAGGAGACCGAAGCACTCATTCTTCTTCACGGAGAACGAGATGTTGTTCACGGCCCTCAGAGAACCATAGTGCTTCGTCACGTCTTTGACGACCAGCGCGAATGATTCGATCTGATTCTTCGCAACTGCCTCGTGAACTGCTTGCCGCTCCGCCTTGACTGAGGCGTCCTCCGGCACGTCTCCACAGTCCGCACCTGAGGGATTTTGTCAGGGATGAGTGGTAATGACCAGGAGGAGGGACAAATATTCATTATTCTCTCATCGCGAGAACTCCTCTCACCTCCTATCGAAGTCTTCCGCCAAGGGAGGAGACCCTTGACTAGATCAGCTGCGTACTCTGCTTTCCTCGTGTTCAATTCGATGAGCATAACGAGCGCGAAGCCCAGGCAGCCTGTCAGGACTAGAGCCACCAATTGGAAGGCAACTCCGGTGTAGAGGTCGGCGTTGAATACAGAGTGCTGTTCGAAGCAGAACTGCGCCGAAGACTCCCCGGAGCATGCTGTTGGAACGAGAAATGAGAGCATTAGGAGAGTTCGGCAAACTATGTCTTACATTAAGGAAGGACGCTGGGCAGTGCTTTGCGGGAAACTTATACTCACGGACGCAGAAAACAGAAATGTATTTCGGAATAACTGGGCTTGAGCAGATCGCTGCGATGCCCTCCTCGTCGAAAACGCTCTTCACGCATCCGTTCCGGTGCACGGTCAGGAAACTCCAAGTTGCGGAGAACACGGGTACGAAACTCAGAAATTTCAGATAGACGTCCGCTCTGTCTCCGATGAGTTGTGGAATATTCTCTAAGATAGCGAATGAGAAGCCGGCCACCAGGACTAGTAGGATATTCAGAGTATTGAACACCGAGAAGCCTGTCGACGAATTGTTGAACAAATACGAGAAAATATACGCCCAGGGTGTTGCTGAAGAAGCGAACGCAAGGAACACGAGGATCGAGGCCGCTGGAAGGAAAGGATTGAGAGTTCCCTCACAATTCGTTCCGCAACATCATGTATGCGATCGAATCCCCTCTCCGAATCTCCGAGCCCTTCGAGAAGCACTCACGGATGGTCTCGCCGAAAGTCGTGAATCCGTGAGCCGGGTTGAAGCAAAGCATGACCAGGAAGCAGAGCATCAGGTTGAGGAACACCGTAGTGGTATCAAACGCGAAATTCGATCCGATGTACACGATCGGTTTCACACCCGACATCGTTTGAATCTGGAATGGAATCGACAACCGCTGAGATGATCGCAGCTCGCTCCGTGGATTCGATCTCCTCCACCCAAAGCATCCTTGAAGGTGCCGATAGCGGAACTGTCCCCATCGAGGCCACTCACCAGCTTCGACTTTCGAACCCGCTCTTGGATGGGCGTTATGATGGTCGCAGAAGACACGTACGCGAACACGATTCCCACAAATAGGACTCCGACCGTCCGCACTGAGTCGAGATTAGAGAGCGTCAAATGTAGCGAATGTACAAGAGGTGACCCTTCCAAGATTAATCATCGCATTCGAAAACTGTGATTAGCCTTACTCGCACTGACGATCGACACCATGGGCGGTTTGAAGGACTCCGGTTCGAAGGGATGATTCGAAACTGTCACCGAACTGGATCGGCCAGTAAGGTTGGCGAGCCGAGCGGCTTGCCAGTCTGCGAGAGCCGCAGCACCAACGTGGTATGGTTGACCGTTGAAGAAAATGCTGTTCAGTCCCTTGACTACGCCGGCCGATGTGTGATATTTGAATGCGTTCAGATCTCTCTTGGCTGCAATACGATCACAATAGACTCTTATCACCCTGAGCAGCGAAGATTTCCTTTCCCTCGCTTCACGGATGGGAAACGAATCAGAATGATTGGAATCGGGGCTAACCTTCCCCCAAGAAGAAATCGTTCACGGCTCCTGTCGAACTGAGGTTGCTCAAGAATCCAATCCGAACACCGTCTGCCGAGAGACGTGTCGTGAACGCATCTGCCACGGGGTCCGGGACGCTACCTCCCAGAAAACCACGCGATGCTCCGAGCAGCGAATTTATGTTGTAGGTGACGGTCTGCAGGGATCAGTGAGATTGTAGGAAGTTCTCGACTGTGGATCCTGTGGCTCGGCATCGCGGAGTGGGTGATCATTCGACTTACCTTTGTCTGCGACGAAGTCTCTCTCGGTATCATGCTTAACACATAAACGATCGCGAATATTAGAGGGACGAGAGTCATATGATATAACACTTTTCCGTCCCGTGAACAGCTCCGGAATCTCATGGTCAGGAGGGAGAGCATCTGCCGTAGGATCAGAGAAGACCCATTGAGACGAGTGAACTTGGGGAACGATTCTGAAACGGAGAGATCGAGTCGTCCTGGATTCTGATGTGCGAGATGAGATTTCGGTGGAGGGGATGATGCTAGGCAGACATCTCCCGGCAGGTCGTCAGCTTACCGAACAGCCTCGAAGAGGATTCAGGCTCAAACCGCGAAGCGAGATCCTCTTCACGCTGGCCAACTTTCAGGAAAACGTCCTCCATCGTCGTTACCGAGGCTCCCATGCTTTCGATCTGTGAACAGACCGTGTCTCATGTTAGCGAGGAGCGGTGCCCGGCCCCAGAAACAACGACGCCGAAAACGGGAAGAGAGCACAAACCCCGAGACTTTCTCTGTTGTCCTCAATGAATCTGAACAGGGAGATCATCTCTGCCGCGCCCGGGAATCCTATGTTGATGACGAACTCATATGATAAGTCTGACACGAGATTCACATTATTTGCGTTCGGGGACAGTTGGTTCTTGACGGCTGCGACCACAGATTCTGGGTCCAGGTTTGGCGAGGCTTTTGTCAGACGCAGTTTATAGCCAGTCTCTGCAATCAATGCGATTCCGTTGTATGTGTTCTTACGGGCGATAACGATAATTTCGATTGGGTAGTTATCGTGAGACGGATGCGAATTTCAGGGAGAGTCTCTCACCGAATTTTCGCTTCAGGAACATGGGTGAACCAGCACACATCAATTTCCCCTTCGCAAGGAACGCTATGCGATCCCCCAAGACGTCGGCTTCTTCCATATAATGGGTTGTCATGAGAACCGTCCTGCGCGTACGCTCCTGCCGAGAATGCGGTCGATATTATTCACATTCTGTCTTCCGGGACCCCTGAACCACACCAAGACTGCTACTGGAGTTTCACGATCAGGATGACGTCTAATATCCCACTCAAATCAGATAAATTCGAGACCAGATCCTCCCCATCCCGCAAATTGAGGATTGAGTCGCCGCTCTCACCTGCTGGAGCAAGTCCCAAACGAGTCGCCGAGCTTCAGGATCCAAGCCCGAAGATGGCTCATCCAGAATCAGAACCTGTAAGCAGTTTTCGAATGGTTTCTCGAGATATTGAGACTTTTCCAGTCAGAGGTTCACATAAGAAGAGATCGGTTCCGAGTCATGAGCGAAGCTCCGCTTACCGAGCTTCCACCAACCATGGCGTTCGCTAAGCTGAGTTTGCGTTTCATTCCCCCCGAGAGCGATTTGGATAGTGTTCCCGCCTTGGCATTCAATTCGAGTTTAGTCATTAGATCTCGGACCTCATTCATGGACGATGAGGAGGATTTCAAATCGGAGAAGAAATGAAGATGCTCTTCCACAGTGAGATCATCGAAGAGAACGTTGTGCTGCGGGCACAAACCCACGCCTTGTCGGGCTTCTTTCGTGCTCGAGCGCACGCTGTGTCCGTTTATGTAGATCTCACCGCGCGTCGGTGGGAAGAGACCAGTCATGATATTCATCGTGGTGGTTTTTCCGGCACCATTATGACCGAGTAGTACGGTTATCTGGTTCCTGTACAAGTCCAGGGAGAGATTATCTACGGCGAGTAAAGCTCCGAATTCGTGGCTGACTCCCTGGAGACGTATCACCACCCCCGCGGCATTCGATGACTCCACCATGTCGTCGCCGAATGAGTCTTCCTCGGAATCCACGGAATCCTCGAGTCTCACTAGATCCGAGGCGACTACCTTCGGGAACCAGAACGAGTATCGCAGGAAGAAAAGGGGATGTTTCGGCATCCCGGATTGCCAGGGCACGACCGCGTCCAGGTAGAGAATGACCAGCATCCAGATGAACCACGATAATATCATCGTCCCGAGGATGGACCCCAGCGTCACGGTATCCCCTTCGACGGCTGGCTGGAACAAGTTGGACCAATTCGCCCCGATGTCTGGAAGACAGCAGGAATCAGAAACCCCCTCAGCTTACGGGTCAAGACTCTTCGATTTGTGGCGAATATGAAGCATTCCGCTCAAAGCAAGCATCGGCTTCTCGGAGACTCCGCTAGATCAATCGTTCTAACGTGTCTCCGATCAGCGGAGTCTCATCTCCCTATGTCGGGTATTAGCCAAAGATTCCGGAAGCATTGCTGATGATACAGAATGGCGGGTCCCTCCTCCGCCTTTCAAAGGAAGGTCTGTAATGGAATCGATTGCCACGTCCAATACCTCTACGCTCCCAGAGAAGCATGATTTTGAAGGCCCAGTGGAGTCCGCAGGGCGACAGCATGGATGTACTGAGTTTGATGAACTTGGATCCATTGACGTAGTCTGCCGTAGAGGAGGAGAGAGGATCCAGACGCTGCATCAAGAATAGAGAGCACGACTGTGCGAGGATGACGACAAGGGCTCCTAGCTTAGCTGAAAATTTGACAAGAGTGATTCGCACGGCCCTAACCGAGGAGTTTTCCAAACGACTGGGCTGAGGTGACTAGGACCTCGGCGCCAGCCGATTCCCAGAGCCTCGATCGAATTCCTAATCTTGCGCGGACCAACCTGATCTGATGAGCACAGACACCAAAAGAGCCATGAAAATTATTCCGACCGAGTACGCGATCAGAGCTACGAATACAAGTCCGGCATTCGAATGAGGGAGGGTCGCGATGTTTCCGAAATTGGTGCAAAGAGATACCGTTACGAGGAGGCACAGAGGAAAGGCGTTGATGAGCCCGACGAGAAACGCGTTAGTCCAGTAGACGAAATCCGACAGACCCATCATCCGTAAGAGTTCCTATAAATCGTTCAATGAATATCATCCGCTGTCTCAACTCACGAGGAGTGAGTATAGTTTATGAGTTCATCGTCGAGAGTACAGAATGGGGCTGCTCACTCTGAGTCGCGTTTCCTTGTCTTGCATGATATTCTGTGCGTAGTTGCCGAGGAAAACACAGAAAGTGGCAAAGACTAAGAGGTCGAAGACGAGAAAGATGATCTTCAAGAGCTCTGCCGTGATATCTTCCGTGTAGCTCTGAGTCGGTAAAGGTTGCAGAAGGGGCATCTCCACGGTTTTCAACTGCAACGAACGGATATTCGTTTCTCTCAGCTGACTGACCTCTTCCCGAAGTTATCCTCTCCTGAGTGAAAAATCAATGACAGTCAACACAATGACCCCACGAAAGTTCGGCAGGACATGGAAACTCACCCCGAAAAAGTTCAGATGCTCCAGGAAAAGCGCGTACATGAGCGGCCACAGATATCGCAACTCGCCGCTGGATGGTCCATCGAAATTTCGGGGGCGGCTGCTCTCCTTGAATATCTCGTCCGTATTCATCTCGATCGAATTTTGCCACCGCATCTCGTATTGAAGATTACTTTCTCCTGAGTCTGGCGAATAGAGAAGACCCAACAGGGTCTGATCTCTCGTGCCGTTGTTGACAGCAATTTTCATTTCAGCTTCTGTTGCGAATCCCTTGACGATGTCTGCACGAGAGGGAGCGTTGCTTAGCAAAACTCGCGATATGGAAAGCGAATCATTCCGAATCGGAGCCGAACTTCGTGAATCTTGACGGATGCGACAGGATGATCGTCTCAAGAGTCGGACTCACACTTCTTGTTCACGAAGACGCTCTCCGTGATTTTCCTCGTGTAATCATTGTCCGGCGCGTAGTAGATATTCCTCGAGCTGGTGACCAAATCATCGAAACTCTCCTTACTGAAGGGACCTACGCTCCTGTAGGTTTTCGCGTCTACTCGGGCTCCCGATCCGGATTGTTCCGAAGCCCGGGTCCAAATATATACATAGAGAGCTGAAAGGGCCGTAGACTTTACTCGGGGCTACTCAGGGTGAAAGAATGAGATGCTCACTCTGGAGTTTTGTCGACACAGAAAGCATCCCTGACAGCTGACCGTCGATGATTCGATGTTTACTCCCGAGGCTCCCGATTACCATGAACACGTATGCTCTCGCTTTGCATCAATGTACTCACCCCAGATCGAGATGGGAATGACGAGCTCCCACGCCGCCCTAATGTAGTGACGCTTGAATTTCCGTATGAAGATGTCTTTACGCAGCAGCGCCCCTAGCTGACGGAGAAGGCTCATAATGGCTTATCCGATCGGCCCCGGGAAGCACAGGTCTGAGGGTTAGGGGGGTCCCCCGACAGGTCGGAATCCTCGAGATTTTCTCGGCTGATAGCGGATTGCCGCAACGGGGGAAAGTCTTCTCGTCGACACTCAGGCGAACCTCCGTGGGGATTCACATGGAGCTCCGCTCGGCAGCGAGTCTGTGGAAACACCAACACCCTCGTCAATGCTTGGACTTCCTAACCATTCAACATAGTACCACCTGACGTAATTTTCTAAGAGCTTGCTACAAGGAATACTTCGGACTCCAAAGCATAGTTGTCGAATCGAAGCAGCGCTGCCGGCGCGGTTCCCACTCGACGATCCACAGCGATTACGAAAATATCCTGTCGCGAGATAAGGACCAAACATGTTTGTTTAATTCTAGCCCTAGTCGCTAGTCTCGCTCTTGGTCGCGATATCCGGGCATTCATTGAATCGCGAATCCGAGCCTCCACAGCGCCTGGGGAATCGAATGGAAGCAGAACCCGTTCTCTTTTTGCTCAGTGTCGGTTTTGGTATATCGATGCGATCGTAATACGAAGCAGCAGCTCAGTGCAGGCTGTCCCATGTCATACCATGAAGGTTCATCTCATGGAGGAGAAAGAGTGCCCTGGCTTAACGAAGGTTCGTGTTCGGGGAAGACCCCGCGAAGTCGCGGACGCAACACGAGAATTCCCTAGCCAGGCCTCTCCCTATGATCCTCTCGGAATCAAACAACGGGGATCTTCCCGACTTCTTATTTATTGAACAATATTGTCACGGGGATCTTGAATCGGTGATAATATCTAATGCGGGGTCTCTTGCGCCCAGCTGTTGTGGACCGCTGCTCATCAGTATCATCAAGAACACTCGGATTCTGCGCGATTGCCATTCAGCCAGCATGGTCCATGAGCTATGAAGTCACTTGATGCCCACGATCGTCTCTAGATCACCTTTGCGCTGATGCTACGTAGAAGCCGAACGAAACCACAGGATATCCCCATTCGAACTTTGGAGAGCGTGACGGCACGGAGTTCCCGAGTGAGGATGTCGCTGCACCCTCACAAGAGAACCTCACACTTTGAACTCTATCGGAAGTACCGCCGGAGTCTACAGAAACAAGTCGGAAGCGTCATGAGTTCCCATCCGTTTACACAGCATACCACCGGATGCACAGCCGCAGCGTTGCCGTTACGCCGAAGCCGCGTGACGCATTAATTGTCGAGCTGAGCCACAGCGCACTTCCAAACATCAGAGTGGATGAGCCCTGACGAAATGGATATTCTGTTGATTCAACTCATCAGGTGGGAATATGGAGTCGGCGGCTGCTCGACTTTAGCGTCAATTTTCTCCCAAGAACCCGGTAAGGCTATCGGCTCAGTTCGTGATAGTCAGGCTCTGACATAACACCCGGATTCTCCTGCACCTGCCGGTTCGTTTTGACAGGAAAACGCTGTCTACGAGCTAACGGCACTTGGTTAACATCCTTCGAGTCAAACTGCGGCATACTCGAAGGAGGATTCACCCCCTGTGCCCTACATCTTCAGCCAGTCGCATATTTCCCCTGACCCGGGCTCCCGCCTCCCGTTTCGAAAAGAGAATGTCGTCTGCCGCGCGCTTAACAGGTCGTCGTTTACCGCTCCGAACTCCCACGCAGGCCGAGAAATACCGCCAGACGTTTGAGTCATACGGAGGGTGCGATAAACTAGCTATGAACGATGAAAAACGCCGTGGCAACGATTCTGCAGGTTTAAAATGGGCTGAGTGAGAACCATCTGAGGAGCCACGCCGAACCGCGACTGGATTTTCTCCGCGGCTCCCTCAGCTCCGCTGATTGGCCCGTACCTCTTGATGCTAGGCTTCAGAGAAGCGAAAATGAATATATTGTCATTCCTACAATCCTCAAAAATCTCGATTCGCATTCAGAGGAACACGCTTCTACTGGGAAGGTCGAGCTGTCTCCTCTGAACGCTTGTAGTGCTCGCTGAGGAGCCTAATTACAAGAGCAGGTGTCTAGTGCGCTCTCGCCTCTCACGGTAGTCAACAGACACTGACGCTCGGCAGGATCGGGTGAGCCGAGGCTCTGACAATCGTTCGCTTCGGTGCTCCTCAAGGACTTCGGGATATCTTCATTGACAAAGCCCTCCAACGTGGTTCGCGCACTAAAGCTTCTCGCTCACCGCATGTCACAACACTGTCACTATGACTACCCCGTGTGTGAGACATAATCATGATACACTCATCCCTTGCTGGTCGCGGTCTGTCGGTGACTGACCTTGGTGATGTCTCATTCCAGAGATGTGCGAATCACCGAGCTTGCGAATCTGATTTCACTGAACAAAACCTTCCGAATTCGGATCCATCCTGTTCCTGTTAGCTACAAGTCAGCTGATGCCTTCAGCGGCTGAGCACTCACTGATGATTCTGATTCAAACGTCACCCCGCCATATGCCTGCCGCCAAGCGGAATTTTCGCCGACTTACGCCAGATGAAAGGGCTTTCGGAACTCCCTCAACTTCTGCAGACGAGAACTATCGGTTCTCTGCGGAACGGTCAGATAGAGCTCATGTTCCGTGCAACAGACACGATCAATCCATACGCTCCTCACAAATTATACTCGATGATATGCGGATCGTTCCGGCCATGAGCAGCTCCATGCAAGGTTTCACTTCCGAAAGGTTCTGGTCAGATAGATCCGCAATGTAATGGCGGCGAAAGGCGTAGGTCATCCCAGTGAGCGTTCGGAGGATGCATAAGCGTCTGTGAATTCGACCCGGACCCGCGGATATACTAAGTACTCACAGACGCATTCACAACACGATCACAATAGCGGCGAAAATCAATGAGTGCAGACTCATCTGTTGGAGTTGAGAATTTCTGTGATCCAGAGATGTGAGCAACCCAAAATCAGCACTCGTGGAACGAAGCGATTTTGTCATTCTCAACCGACACCCAATCAGGCTTCAGATATATGCCTAGCGAGTCGACGGTTCGACAAACGCGGAGAGATGATGACGAACTCACACAACTCCCAGAATCGGATGCGTCAGATTTCACAGCCACAACTGAGCTGATAGTTGGCAGATGAAACTCGAGAATCGCGCAGAAACCACACACTGTTTCGTGACCAAGCCTTTCCCGGGCTGTGCTGCCCATGCCAGTAACTTTTCCTGAAAGATTTGTTTCCATAACTGCGAGACGGGGAATCGTCCGTTCTAAAACGGGGATCGCGATGGCTTAGTCCTATGCCAAGGGAGTGTATTCTTGAGTGTATTCTTCATTGCCGGCAATGCCTACTCCGAGCTTGGAATCCGTTCAGCCGAGAAGTCTCTCAGAAACCTACGCGCGGGGGAGTGAGGTCGATTTCTGTGATTCCATGACAGATTCCCGTTTTTCGCTGGTATAAATCGATCAACTGATTTCCAAGCATGAATGCCGCATTTTCCCCGGAAGAATATCAGGTTGATTGATGGATTGAGACATCCTCCTTCTCCGTGCAGCTAGGTTTCATCATGAGCAATCGCACTCAGATGATGGCGGAGGCCTCAATATCTGCTCGACCGCAGCTCATAGCGGTCCGAGGAACCGCGATACCAAAGTGAGCCCAATGGTGAGCGAAGTTATTTCCGGCATCGGTATGGAACAAACTCTCGTTCTTAATTTCATCAAAGGGGATTGACGATTCTTCATTCTTAAGATATGATTAGCGTTCGATCACGACAATGTGCTCGAAATAGAGGTTCGCTCCTTCTTCGCCTCACCGAAGCTCAGGAATAGTTCTTGTAGAGTCGTGTCAGACACTTGAATATCCTCGATGTCGAGGGAGGAGTCTTCTCGCAGTCTCTGTACTTGCTCGAAAAGCTTGCTCCATTTGAGTGACTTGTCGTCGATGTGAAAGTGAAACAAGCTCTGCAACGGCGGAAAAGGAGGTTGGAAAATCTTCCAGCCCAGACGATCATCGATGACATCTGGCTAGCCGGAGCGCGGACGATTCAAGACGATAGAACTTCATCGATACGTAGTATGTAGGTGTCCTTCCTTATGGCGTCTAACAGGATGATGATGAGGCTGTTGTCGCCCTCTCCTGACCGATAATCGATTTTCAGCGGCGGGAGTCATTACTTATGGCTCATGCTACCGGAAATCGTATCATTGATCGCCCGACTACGAGGGAAAGGCTAGAGAGGGGTCGCACTAGCTCGCGCAGGAGATTCGTAGAGGTGTCCTTCAATGTGGGATGATCTCCGAAGACCTCCGTCACCAAAACCGTGTCAGTGTGATTCTCGTTGATGCTGTCAGTCAGTCTCAGAGTTTCGCGGAATGAGGTGGCTTCCTCATAACTCTCACACGGAGCTCATGCCCCGGGGTATCGAGAACATTCATTGGAGTTTCGGTAGGATGAGATATTCGGAGCGGTGAAGCTGAGGAGAGAGGGCCAGAGGGCGGGAACTCACCATGTAGCTCTTGTTCAGTTTACATTTGCCGTCGAACAAATTACTCATCGCGTGGTTGAGATCTTCCAGCATATTTTTTCGCTGCTTCTTCACTTTGACCTGAACGATGTAGCCACTTCCGTATCTCGATTTCAAATGCTGAGTAGAGCCTAAACATCGGAAGCTGCCTTTCACCATAATGGCTATACGGTCGCAGCGGGCCTCGCATACGTCCAGAGAATGCGAAGTTAACACTATGGCAGTGTTCAAGTCTTTCTGAACTCCGGCGAGCGTATGGAAAATTCTTCGCCGAGCTGTAGGGTCCACCCCGGCAGAAGGTTCATCCAAGAGCAAGATGAGTGGATTCCCAATCATCGCAAGGGCAAGCGAGAGCTTTCGCTTGCTCCCGCCACTGAACTCTTGTATCGTTTTGTCGATGTGAGGCAGAATATCGGCAGACCTTATCAACGTCCTCATAATCGTCTCGGAGTCAGGTTTCGGCACGGCTCGGAGCGCGCAGAAAAGTTCCAAAATTTCTCGGCCAGTCATATTCGCTAGTAAGGCATCGAATTGTGGACAGTATCCGATATTGCGTCGGAATTCGCGCCGGCGTCCCTTCAAATCGACGTTCTTGATGTATGCGTTTCCTCCAGATGTCGGGACATGGCCGGTGAGCATATCGAAAACAGTGCTCTTCCCAGCTCCATTCGTTCCCAGCAGGCCGAAACACTCATTACCGGTCACGTGAAACGATACGTTGTCGACAGCTTTGAATGTCCAGAAATATTTCGTCAGTTTGCTTGCCAGCAGCGTGTGCAGACCTGATTCACCCCTGCTGATGATGGCCTCTACTTCTCTTTCTTCTCTCAGGACGTCGTCATCTTTCCGACGGACATCGTTGGGCCTGTCGCCGACAGCTGGAAGGTGATGCTGTTAATCGATCATTGGGCCTGAAATTTGAGCTCCGAAAATGACTCAGCTGCACGGAGTCTTACAGTTCCCCGGCTGGGTAAGGGATCCGACGGGAGTCTCTCTCGAAAAGCTCCTCGAAAACGCGAAGAGACTTTCGACCATATAGTCATACAATCCTAAATCCGTCTCCATTAGCACCACGAGCAGCGTGCAAAGTCCTCCGACAGATAAAAGCGTCAGCATCTGATATCGAGCCCCATATACTGGATCCATCGAGAATGAACTCTGATATTCGATGCAGTAGCCGGAATCACTCCCCGAACACTCTGCGTAGCAATGATGATATATTAGTATCAATGATTTTAGCAATGATGACTTCCTTTACCAGATTATTTTATACAGATCCATTCCCTGAATTTTCGTAGGCACCGATCGGAGCCCGATTTGAGTGGGTGGAAGGGGAATCGCATGCATCGATTCTTCAAATATTGCGTCTCAACTCACGCTGGCAGCACGACGGCAAACCTCCGAAATTGCAGACGAGAGCGAGCTCGAAATCACTCGCTACTCCGCATACCTTCGCTGATATGCCATTCATGAGAATGCTGGTCATTCCCCAAGACGCAGAAAACGTTGGGTGAATCGAGGACATTTTCACCATGTAGGGTACATTCTTGAAAACCTCGACACCGAAGCCATAGTACAGAGCCTCAGAAATCGCTAGCACTAGGCCGGTGATCCCGACGGGAGCGACGTTCAAAGTCGTGAATGTTGACAACGCCGATGAAGGATCGGACCACAGGTTTGACAGGAGATACGATAGTGGTATCATTGCAGTCGAGTAGCATAAGAAAAGAGCGCACATGGCCACTGTAGGAATGAGATAGAACGTGACCGAGGAGAGCATCGCGATTTTCATGTGTTAGGTGATGACGTATCATTTTGTAGATCGTGAATTTCATGCATCGCGAAGGACTCAATCAGAAATGTACTCACAGAGAGCGTCTGGGCTTGTTGAGAAACACTCGCCTGGATTCTTGATGAACATCAGACCCAGAATAAGAGTTGCCACGGTTGTTTGAACCAAGATGTCGAAACAGAAATTCGAGAGATGGAACAAGGCTGGGTTCACTCCGGTCATCATTTGGATCTGAATACGGAGCCATGCCTCAAACATCCCAAGTTCCCTAATTCGCAATGTCGTCCGAGGAGCATTGAATATGATTGAGAGGGTTCCGATGCAAATCATACTTGGCCGGTCGGGAGGGAATAGGGAATATCGGAAACTGGGACTTACCAGTTTAGATTTCGTTTGTTTCTCGATGATTGGATATCCGATGGCAGGGCATGCCAAATAAGCAAACATTGCTGCCATTACGAAGGTTCCGAAGACTCGAACTGGATCGAGGTATTGCGTCAGGAGGACCAATTATCCAAACTCCTTCATAATTCACTGAGTATTCTTTGATCGAGTCAACAGACGTGCGTTGACCTACCTTGCAGCATCGTGATCATGAGATGCAGAGGCTTTACGGCTGGAATGGGCCAATTGCTCACGTCCACCTCGCTTTTCATCCCCGTGATCTTGCTCAAGGCGACTTTCTGCCATCTCGTCAACGCAACAGCACCCAAATGCTGCAGGTGTCCATTGAACCACAATCTATCGTCCGCCAGACCCACCGACCATTTGTTTCGGTACTCATCCTGAGAGATGTTTTCTAGATCTCTGAGCTAAGACAAACAACGCGACCCGTGTACCAGGGGAAGTTTTCACCTCACAACTACAAACTCACGCAGCTTGATGAGATGATCGTTGATGTCAGAGTCCAGATCCTTGAGGGTGAGGTCGAACTTCACGCCATGACTGACGAATTCGTCCCGTAGACGCGACAGGAAAAAGTCTTGGGGACCCGCTAGAAAGCCTTTAGTGAGCCCGAAGAGCCTCTTCATAGCATAGAGGAATTTCTGTATGTGGGATAGAGGTCACTCTTCCGGTCGGTCATCAATCGTTCGGAACCCCATGAGATCTCGGGATCTGAACGAGTCCCCACTCTGGAATACTCACGAAGGTCTCCTCACCCCTAATCACCATATCCATTACCGAACAGAACAGATAGCTCAACAGCATCGGCCACATCATGGAATACAAGAAATACTTCCATTCTCGCTTGAATGAATGGAATCGTTTCCACAGGAGACCTCGGAACTGCCGACAGATGCGGCTTATGCCCGTAAGGGGCTCGAACCGCGGCAAGCGTTCTGCGAGAGTTCGATCATCAGCGGATATACATTGCTGTCAAGACTGTTGTATAAGACTGCGGATGAGTAGCATGTGATTCCGATATATCGCATTCCCGAAACATGACACAGCATTACCGAATGATTCTTTCGTCGCCACGGGGTCGGCTCCAGCTTCCATCGCCGCCTCGTCCAGGTCTCCCACTTTGAGGAAAACATCTTCCATTGACGTGACCGAAGCACCAATGCTCACTATCTGAAATTTTCCTATGCCTTTCCATATCCGGACTCCTCGGACAGCTTCGAGCCAACTCGCAGCGCGGTCGCAGAGAGGGAGTAGATATAAGATCAGAACCGAGCTCACCCCCAAATCTTCTTTCCCTTCCTCCAGTCTCTTGAAGAGTTCGATCATCTTCGCATTCTTCGGGAAACCGATGTTAATTATGACTTCATAGCCCATTTCGGTCATCGATAAAGTTCTCCTGCCCGAGAGGCGGCCTAAAGCGTCTTTCACGGCCGAAAATATGGGAATCGAGTCGACTTCAGGTTTTTCTTTCGTCAGCCGGAGTTTGTAGCCAGTGTCTGGGTTTGAGCGAAAAAAAAACTTTCCCGGAACCGATTTTTCTGTTGTGGAAATAATCTCACTCTCTTCCCAGAGGAGCCATAATTCACAGAGCCTCCTCGGTCCCCTGATACCAAGAATCTCCTAGGAGAGGACATCCACGCTGATGGTCTTCGGCGCTTACGTCTCGCCTCAGAATGAGAGGGCCGTGTGCAGTTCGGCAAGGGCCGCCACAGCCTCCGGGATAAGCTCATGAGAAAGGATATATCGCCTCCGAAGCCACGGTAACGACCGGTTTACGATAGTCTGTTCCAAGTAACACCAAGTTCCGAACTCTGACCCATCAGGTCCCCCGAAGCTTGATAGGCTGAGAGCCCACCCAGCGAGCATCTTAGCACGTCGAGATCCCGCAGGGCTTCACATTTGCGTCCTCTGGATTTCCGTCCGGAGATCGTCCGGCTGTTCCTTACTGAATAGCCTCATTACTACAAACAGGCTGAAGCCGGCTTGCCGGTAGCAACGGTCTGTTGAAATCATCTTCGCTACCGAATTTTCCGAATGCGTATTCGGACCTCTCGAAACCCACCGAAATGAATCGTTCGTCGCTTGAAGAAGCGCACTGTAACGGAGTTCGTTGTTACGAGGCTCCACTGTATTCATGAAGGGTGTCACTCACCGAATTTACGCTTGAGGAACATGGGGGAACCTGCACACATGAGACGCCCTCTCGTCAAGAGAATCACGCGATCCGCGAGGACGTCTGCTTCTTCCATATGATGAGTAGTCATCAATATCGTCCGTCTCTTCCGCTCCTGTTGAGGATGCACGTGATTCCCATGTAGCAATAATTGATTGAGATTGGGAGCATATCATAGTGCCCTTCCGGAAGACATAAAATTCCAGTTCCAGAACCTCTTGGAGGAAGCCCCAGACGAAATGCCGAGCCTCGGGATCCAGGCCAGAGCTCGGCTCATCGAGGATAAGGATCTGCGGATATGTCATCGTTCATTTCAAACCCTCATTGCCTGCCGAGTATCCTTGGCCTTTTATGGGGACCACTGGAGGAATGCCCGTGCGGTCCACCAGGTGCCCTGACGCTTTTATTATTGTCGTGATCGACGATCCGAAACCGACTGTACCCGACTTCCGCCGATCATCGCGTTGGCGAGGCTGAGTTTCCTTTTCATGCCTCCAGAGAGGTTAGCAGCGAGATCGTGACGTTTGGCGAGCAAATCCACCTTTCGCAGAATGACTCTGCATTCTTCGTCTATAGGTCCGACTGAGCCTTTCAGTTTGGCGAAGAATAGGAGGTGCTCTTCGACAGTGAGGTAGTCGAAGAGAACATTGTGCTGAGGGCACAGACCGATGTCCTGCCGAGCTTTTTTCGTCTCTCTCAGGACGCTATGATCATTTATGAAAATGTCGCCTTCCGATGGCGGGAACAAACCAGTGATTATGTTCATGGCTGTTGTTTTCCCTGCGCCATTGTGGCCCAACAGGACCGTGATCTGATTCCGGTACAATTCAAGAGACAGATTGTCCACTGCTTTCACCTTGTCGAAGCTGTGACTGACGCTCACGAGTCGAATGACTGGGGACCCGGCGTCCGCCGAAACTTGTTCTATCATATCCGATTGCTGACGCCGCATGTCGGTGTCCCTGGTCGATGCGGGGTCTTTCGTACATGGAGGCTACAAAAATAATCGAGGACTTCTCGGTATCCCATACTGCCAAGGATTTATGGCGTCAATGTAGAGCACTATCGAGAGCCAGAGTACCCAAGAGAAAGCTTGAGTCACGAGCAGCGAGCCTAGGCTGACATTCATGTCAGCTTCGGGAGGTGTAAACAGATTGCTCCATCGACTTCCTCGCCCTGGAATGGCACAGAGATAGCACGCTTTCACTCGCAGAAATTTGGAGAAATTATTGAGGAAGAGGAATCTTCGAGACCCACCATTTGCCTCAAACCAGAACATCACCTTGAGGCACCAGGCTAATCCATGTGTGGGTATCATGGACGAAGCAAAAATTTTCGATCTCGAAACGTGAGACCCGGTATCAAAGTCGCCGAACAACTTCGAGAATGAATAGTGGGCCAGGGTTAAATAAACCAACACAGCGAAGGAGCCGGCTTTCGCTTTAGAGACAAGGGCGATAGTCACTGTTTCTCGCAATGATTGGAATAGCCATAAAATATATCTGCACGTGAAATCATGCTCGATCATGGGGATCGGCTGCGAAGTGCGACGCGATAAGAGCGTATCGTTGATCACTCTTGAATAAGCACACTGCGGAGGGGCTTACCTGTTGGGCAGATGACAGTTACCAGTAGCACGACTAAGAGTGTTCCAATCACGAAGAAAAGCAGTATGGTCAGGACCAATGTCGGAGCGGAAGTGTCGAATGACGGAATCTGATTGAAGCCGCCGCAGAGCTGGTAGGTCGAGATCATGCAGAGGGGCAGTCCGATTCCGAGACCAACGCACATCGCGCTAGTCCAATAGACTGTGTCAGAGAGACCCATCATGCGCATCAATTCCTACAAGAGGGTTCCCATGCTATCCCGATATTCGTTTTTTCGGTCTACCGGCACGCCAATCTGGATTTCGCACGCTCACCCTGATGCGGCTCTCTTTGTCTTCGATAATGTTCTTGCAGAAGTTCACAAAGAATCCCATATAGCCTAGGGTTCCCAGCGTGAGAACGGCGTGATAAGTCATCTGTTGAACTTTCGATGATTTCGGGGGAACATAAGTCCTTCCCGAGGGGAACGGTTGCAGGATCGGCATGAAGAACTTATTCGCGTCTGGCTGTACAAGAGGTACATTTGAAGGTTATTTCCGAAAGATCTCAGCGACTTCGTCGAAGCTCATTGTTCGGATAAACTCCTACAAACGGAACTCTGGAGCTGACCATGAAATATCTGACGTGTTCTCTAAATATTCGAATCATGACGGACGCCTCTCTATGCGTTTCCTGGAGAGAGGTCATGGAGAGGAATCGAGCCAAGGGGCTCTGGCTCAAACTGCTAGGCAACGGAGGGAAACGCAAGGTATATCGTAGCTCTGCCGGAGCAGGAGTGTCGGGGAAATAGATGGCCATGACCGTCTCGGTTTCATTCCCGGATAGGTACTTCTCCAGGGCAGATTGAGATGGAAATCGCTTGATGGCTGCAGGAAAAGGATTTGACCTCGAACTTCTTTCGGTCTAGTGGATCTCTTGTCACGAGTCGGCAGGATTATTGTGCGGAACACCACTCACCATTCGAATTCTGGGCCAAGAAGGCATTCTTGACGATTGAGTCCGAATAATCGTTCTCTGGAGCATACAGAACTCCGACCATGTCTGAACCGTATAGCTTATATTTTCCCTCGTACGGTCCGAGCGCCTCATGATACTGTGCTTCGGTCCAGAAACCACTGGTTTGATTGGCGAAAATCGGAGGTATTTTCCCTCTCGCACTCTGCAGGACAACTGAAAGGTTCCATTAAGAGGTGACTCGGTATTTTCAGCTTGCTATTTTCTCAATCAAGTTTTCGGAGAGGTATCCGGACACCCCAGATCCCCGCCCCAGTCGACGGTCTCTTCCGTTTCCAATGAAAAGGAGAAAATTCTCCTTGGATGCCCGAGGTTGACTCGGGAGAGGACGATGAGCGGGGCCAGAGAGTAGAGGATAGTATCAGCGCGGAGCGACTATCAGGGGATTCTTGATATACACCCAATTCGAAGTTTCTTCGAGCTACTCACCCACGAGGGCGATCGGGATCATGAATTCAATCAGGGTCGCGACGGGATGTCTCTTGAGCTTCCGAATGCATACGTCCTTCTGGAAAAGGGCCCATAATTGTCTCACGGCTGACATGCCGTTCACGTCGAGATCGGGTGCACTCGGCGCCGGAGGGGAGATGCTCACAGTGTCGAGAATCACTATTGGGAGCTTCCTTGTTTTTTTGCTTCACAGAATACAAATTCCGTCCCGAGTCCACAATTCGAACTCCTCGTCGATGAAGTTGTTCGTCGAACCTCGACATGCGATTAGCATGATCGATACCCGCGTATCAACGGAGCTCTGTGCAAACTCCGATGACTCCGGAAGTCTCCGGAAGCGGCACCGATCTTCTGTTGCGAAGACCAAGATCTGCCGCATACTGAGGTCGGCAACGCGTCATATCGGAGAGCGTCGCGGGTTCTCGACCTACGAGCAATGGACTCTATGTGACGGAAAAAGGGGCACACGGAACGACCGAAGGAAATCTAGCCCCGTAAAGAATTGAGGAAGGCTTATACACCATTCGATCAGCTGAGAGAGGGAGCGTTGGGATCTGCTTGAGGATCAGATCAGTTCTGGGCCTACGCTACAGGGGTTCTCCCGGTATGGAATCTCCGAACCCAAGGTGGTCCGAAGCTCCGTCGCAGTATCGACCGCTTTGAAATTTGATTCTGCGAGGCGACTGTCCCAGATCAACATATCCGGCAGATTCTTATCGATCCATGCCGTGAAACCTGTTCATATTAGTGTCTTCAAGTTCCGAAACCAGTGCCGATTCGACAGACGCGAGAAAGTTTTCATTGCTCCTGAGCACATCTCCTGTCAATGGATATCGAAGGCGATGAGAGCCGGGCCCTCCGAAACTGAAAGGGCTTCAAGGGAGGATAATAATCAACGGAGGGCTTATGTATCTCATGGCGGCGTGGAACCTCCGTCCGTGGAACTCTCTAAGGTTTCGCGAAGAGCTCCGCCGGAAGCACAACTTCGTGCTACATGGGGGGAAATCGCCTATCGGCGCGCTAAAAGGAGTTCACCGACAACCGATGATATAGCGAGAACAAACACTCCCGCTGGGTATGCTTTTTTCCAAGTAAAACTTTTTTTCCAAGAGGAAGCTCGCTTCACTGAAAAAGCAATCTGACAAATCTGATCCACCGAAATGCCTCATCAAATAGAACGTGTACCCTCAATGTGAGTACATGTGAGCCGTACGGCGTGGAGGCTCTCAGTCTGATCGAGCAATAAGGACATTGACCTGAAAGCGGAGCCTCCAAGAACGCTATCCCCACTCACGAAAGTACGAGTTGATCACATTCCAGCCCTCCACAATCATGTGCCACTGTATCGATCTCGACTGGGCATCAGATAGAGAATTCTGACTTCAGCGACGCGAGATCCGCTCTACGCTCATATTCGCAACATATTTCACCAACCGGCGCGTCGGTAAGGACCAGCCACTTCTCATGCCTCTAAATGCAGTGGATACAGAAATTTTCGCTTGCAGGTGGGAGGGTCCTTATGAGGAATGGCGCTCAGAGCGGCGGAGTAAGCCGCCTCGAGGGCGGAAGCCTGAGGCTCTTGGGGGGAGGGGAGAAGGATTCGCTAAAAGCCACTTTTGCTTCGAGGCGCGCGAAAAGTTTATTCCCCAGAGCTAAGCGCCGCCGATCGGAATCGTCCTCAGCTTGAGCTCCATCGGGTTGATGCGCCAGTTCGACACTTTCGCAGGCTCGGAAATGTAGTATCGTTCTCTGCGATGGGTTCTGAATATTGTAGAGATGATTGTCTCATTCCTACAAGGAGCTTCCTCCAGGGAGTGGAGGGTCTGCAGGGAGCTCTCTACACCCTCCGGGAAACGGTCGAGGCAATCCCGCCGGCGTGTATTCAAAGCGCAGCTCCACAATCTAGCGATCACGGCTCGATGGAGCAGGTCAAAGTACAGAGAATCTGCCGGTGAGCTCGGCTGACTTGTCACGAGTTTTTGATGATATCGACCTGATTCGAGCCTGGTCCTCCTCGAGCACTCGCTCCGTGAATATTCGACACCGAGAAGTAGGATTCCTCGATAGAAACACCACTTGAGAAAAAAGCAATGGCGATGATGGGTCTTTCTCGGGGAGAGCAATCCGGTTTGTTGAAGAACGCTTCCAATCCGATTCTCAAGCGAAGTACGCTGGGATTTTCTCCAATTGTTGCTGAGCTCGGAGTCTTCCATATAATGCCTATAATGAGATAGAGGAAAGCCGAATTTCCCCATGCTCACCTCAACGCTCCTGGAGGCTCGAAGAGCCGTGGATCCTTCCACGTTTCAAAAAGAGGAGTCCTACTGCGACTCGTGTCGAATTCCCCCACCATCTCGAGGTGACGTCGATCACGGTAAGGTAAATCATCGCCGCGAGCGGAGACACGGAGCTTCCTGAAAACTCAGCTAACAAGCTCTCCCCCTTGCCGTCGTCATGCCACACCAAAGGAATACTCGATCGTCCACACCTCCTCCAGTCTCTCCGGCAGAGGAAAGAGGAAGCCCCCTAAAAGTCACACGTTTCTCCGAGCACCAAGGCTAAAAAAGACCGCTCCGGAGCGGCGTTCGCGTTGATCGAGCCAAGTCTCGTTTAGCTTGTTTGGCATAGGCTGCTCTCTGATTCTGCCGAGTTGAGTTTCTACTTCAAACGACGAGAAAATCGTGCGGTCGACGGGGCGTGGCTGACACGTGCACGTTCGCATGTACTTGAAGACATTGCTCCGAGTGAAATCCATGAGCAGGAGGATTTCCATCAGAACGCCCGCGGCAAAGTGGAATCAGGCGTCAAGAAAGCGGAGTGGGAATCCTAGCATCGGGATGTAGACAGATGGGAGGGAATTGTGAGTTTGCAAGATAACTTGACTTCTAGATTACCCTCACGAGAGACCTGCTCCGTCGGGAACAGCGTCGCCGTAGAATTTGTGAGCAGCAACTCCGCACAAAAACCCGCCGGCGGTCTTTTCTCACTTGAATGCGGCTCAGAGGCTGGAATGCGAGCGAGTTGATGCGAAGCTTCGAGAAGAGCCGCGAGAGAATCCTGTTGATTCGTTCGACGTGAGGTTGAGCTCATGGAAGGAAACTAATTCCAGCCCTCCACGTCGTACTGTCGCGACTCGCATGAACGCATCGGATATGGGAATCAATCACGATATCGAATACTCTTTCTGCGGTCGACTTCTGTGTTGTTTGCTCGAGGCTCGACGGGTAGCAATTCGCCATACCAGAGGGGAAACCATACCAGAGGGTGTCGATCGGTGTAGAAGGCACGGAGCTGCAGGGCGTAGAAAATGGACAAGTTTCGTCACACTTTTGGTGAAATACTAGGCCAACCTTTTTAAAGACGTTTCACGTCAAAATTCCTGGGCACGCGCCTTGGGAGCTTGCGATGTCCATTCCCGCTCAGAATAGTAGCGGTTTCAAAATCAGAAGCAGTCATGTGATTGCTCGCTTCAACGAGTCCCTCTGATGGACATTACGATTTACAGACATAATACACGAGCAGAGGCGTATCCAGAATATTTACTTTTTGGAGGGGGGGGGGCAAAGCCATTGTCTTGGTAGGAGCAAACCGCCACTGATGCAGGGTCTCAACATGGAGCCCTAAAAGCCGGAAATAGATCTTGGATGGAAACCTAGCGGGAGATCCGGGAGGGGGCAAGAAATCTTAGCGATCTTAGCGAATTCTCAATTCTGCTTTGAACGCCGCTCGGTTACTCTAATTATATACCGTAAATCTTCTATTAGAAGCCCCGTTACTGATAGTAGCCCCTCCCCAATACAAGCCCCCCCTCGGGCAGGTTCGTAAATATAGAAGCCCCTCTCCAATAGAAGCCCATCTCTCTAATAGTAGCCCCTCTTCCGTCCGAGATCGCACGTAACCGTGCTATTCCGGAAGATTTCCCGCTCATCGTGGAGAGCCGAGAGAGCACCGACGTCACCCGAGTCGAAACGTCAATCTGTGCACAACGATTACGGGAGACTCTCGTTCCACAGTGTTGTGTGTCTAGACACGCAAACGTCGCTCCTCAGACGAATAACTTCGTTTAGTATCTCATGCGGTCACAGTAGCGCTCGGCTAAGGCTCAGGAGAGCTGTGCATCTCGAAGAATGGACGAGATTTCTCTCCTATCTTGAAGCATCGGCAGTTCTCCATTACTCGATCGTCAGGGTTCTGCGGTTCGAGTAATTTTAAGCCCCCCTCCTATAGAAGCCCCTCTCTAATACAAGCCCCTCTGAGAAGGCACTCGGAAAAAATAGAAGCCCGGGCTTCTAATAGAAGATTTACGGTATGTACGTATGAAGTCCGAGTGACAGCGGCCTTTCGTCCCGCTTCATATCTTGGAGCGACTGCCGCGGCCCGGTGCTCTCGAACCTGAAGAGATGGACATCTGCGTCAGAAATTGACAAGTGCTTGCTTGACGAGAGCTTATCGCACTTATTTTCTATCATTTCACAGAAGGGCTGATGTGTTATGGTGTGATAGACGGTCGGACATTCCATTTCGAGCTCAAACGATCGATCTCCGCTTTCTCCGCCGATAACTTTTACTCTCAAATCACCCCGCTCCCGCGATTGTGCAGGCTTTTCTGGTCGAGCTCCCGATTCGAAATCCATCGCCGTGCCGCGCCGCCACCTGTTGGAGGACGGGGCCACAGTAAGTGGTCGACGTGCTGCTGAGGTGGAGTCAGAACATTCGGGATCGGAGCTGGGCCGCATTGTCGACGCGTTGTCGCTCAGACCAGGGGCTATTAGACTTATGGCTGGCACCGCGGGATGGCCCGATTCCTCGGCGATTTAACGGCGGACGTTCCCGCCACCGGACATCGAGGGACATTTATCGGGGCCGATACCTTTCCGTGACTCCGGCCGATCGGTAGGTTATGTCGAGATCTTTCTCTCGGATTTATCATAAGGAGTTCCTTTGTTAGGTGCGGTGAGTCTATCGACGAAAGCATATCGAGAATCTGCTGTTTATGATTCCGACCTTGTGCTGTCGATTCCTCCGTTTAGCCTTAAAGGTTCGAAGCAAGCCGGTCACTTTCCCGGCGGCAGGATCGCACAGTTGACTTCCGAC